TATATTTTCTTTTGGATTATTTTGCTCCTGCTGTTCCAGTTGGGAATTTGGATGGGTTTGGGTTTCCTAAAGTTTCCACATCCAGGGCAGATTATGTGGTTCCAGCACAACAAGAATTTCAGGTGAATAAATACTGAGCAAAAATATGAATTAATGGTTGATTTTTTTTTTTACTTGTGAAGAAGAAAAAGTTTAAGCATGAAAACAGCTGTGTTGTTTTAAATGAAATGCCAGTATCTTCTACAGTATTAATAAGAGCCTTGTGTTATTAGCAGTGGATGTTTTGGGAACCCCAACCTCTGGATGAGCGAAATGGCTCGTACTTGAAAATGCTATGTGTGAGGTTTCCTCCTCTTGTGTCACTGCCAAATGAACTGTGGTAGCGCTTTATAATTCGAGCAATAACTGTGAAAAACACCTTGGGTTTTGGTGAACTTTTCAAAAGTAAAGATTTAAAAAAATGTACGTATGTGGTGTCGGTACATTCAAGAATTTTAATGTGTTATCTGGAAATCTGACACATAGCATCTTCTTAAGAATATTGTGTGTTCAAGTCTGAGTCAGACCACATTTTCCAAAAATAACCATCAGTAGTCGTAAGGGACACTCATTCAAGGGTCAGGTGTTGAAAATTCTTTACAATTTATATACGTACCAATCACTCAGGTTTATGACTTGTGATCGGTGCATTTTGGTGAATATGAAGTGCGAGATTCTCACTGGGTGTTGATGATTAAAGATTGCAATTGTAACTGTCCTTGCAGATCTGCTTTTTTTGAAAAGTGTGGTCCGACACATTGTGTTGATAGGAGATTAAGATGGAGGGAATGTAAATAAAGGAATGTATTGAAAGAGTTTGACGTCTGACTCTTCATTTTTTCAATGCAGGACGGTCAACGTATCGTCCATCTGATGTATGTTCTGTCCAAAACCCAATGAAATAATAACATTTTCCATTACGACTATAACACATGAATTCAAAAGATGTTCCTCAGGCTGCCAATGCTTTAAGATGTGACATCAAAGTCTTAACTTACTTTGGCCGTTTAATGCACATAAACAAAACCTAGTGTCAAAGTAAAAATAGGTGCAAATAGTCCTCACCTGCTCAAAATGCAGAAACCACTGTTACTCTCAGTTACCTAGATTCCAACCCATAAAAACTTATGCCGAGATGTACAATACGCCTGACGCACCAATTCAGCGGATGTGTTAAATCGGGCACCAAAAGTTAAATTGAAGCTATGTCAGGCCTCTGTGTTCATACAGTCAATTGGACACACGACAGCTTTTCCGGCTTCATTTGCAGATAACACACTCTACAGGCTACAGTTACTTTGTTGGAATAATGATACGCTGTCTCTATCAGCCCACCTGCTTCAAAGCTTCACTGATTCATTTCTATTTCTGTAATGATCCAGACATTTCTGAACCCTGTCACCCTGAGAAAAGACTGATCAGTTCACAGACACTCTCACCACTCTGGCCTCACTCTCTCAGTCACATGACTTTCTCAGAAAACTATGATCTCATGTCACTTTTTTACAGGAATACCTTTTTTCCTTCCTTAATGTCCATCATACTCTGACATATACGTATTTAAAAATGATCCCACTTCCCCCAAAAGCTGCTGGTATTACAGTATATATATTAGAAGAAAGAAGTAGCATTTTGGGGAAAAAGGTGTAACTTTCAAACATTAATGTGAGCGTGATAGACATTGTGATTTCCTTTTTCTTCATTGAGACAAAACAGAAGAGTTAGACTGTTTAAAAACATAGTAAAATATGTGTAAGGTCTGTTTCCATACATGCTGACTCCAGCAAAGTACCATCATTTTAGGATTTCTACCTTATTTCCTACTGTACATGTCTCTGTGTGTGTGTGTGTGTG